TGATGCTTTCTTATTTTTTAGACGAAGTCAATTTTTTAACTTTTATCAGTATACTACCTCCGTGTGTCAATGTCTTGAAAAAGAAAGCATTCATACACATGTACCTGCTTGTCCTGTTCAGGGTCGTGGGGGTCCAGAGTCTATCCCAGAAGCTATGGGCACAAGGCATAATCCAGAATGGGGGGGGCGCCAACCCATCGCAGGGCACACACACCTATGGATAATTTGGCACCTCCAATCCACCTTCAATCCATCCATGTTTTTGTACTGTAGGGGGAAACTGCAGAACCCAGTGGGAACCCCACAATGACATGAGTAAAACATGCAGACTCCACACACTTAGAACCAGGACGGAGACTCGAACCCTGGTCCCAGAGGTGTGAGGCAGCTGTGCTAACCACTGCACCACCCCATAAAGAAAACAATAATCATTCATTTTTCTTTACAGATCTTTTACAAGTGAATATAATATGAATAACGTAACAATATATTCATTTCTGTATATATCAATATAATATTGTGTTCATAAATCAATATGTGCTAAGAATATTCCTTTATTGATACATGACTTGATAGGTCTCAGTATATCACCTGGCATTAGACAGAAATATACGTTTATATTGGTTATGCTATGTGTGTATAATAGGTTACATATATACAAATGCGTGCACTTATTTCACTGCTTTTTACTTTAGGGAGTTATTGTGACATCTTGTGGTAGCTCATGGTCATTGAACACGATTCTTTTTGGATTAAGAGACAAACACGTGACCTGACACCTTCAGTACTTACTGATTGTCATATAACATTTGTCTTGGGTTGTATCAAGGTTTGCTACTATAGTCATAACAGTTATAACCTTAATTGTTGTAATATCAATAAAAATGCAAAAGCAGCTGTTATCGACATTTAAAATCGCTTACAAGGTTTTATTTTATGAAGCGTTTCTTGACGTCTTGATCACCGTGGCAGCGGTAAATCACGTATACAGTAAGTGACAATAGTTAAACGGCAGTAACTGACAAGGCACTCACGGTGACTACACTGATGTGGTTATGTATTTGTGTCTCCAATAGGGGGCGATGATTCTCCGCTTTGAGGCTCATTGTCTCGGTTGGCATTACAATCTGTTAATGCCAGTCACGCGTTCTGGCTAAAAATCAAACTCTTTCAAAAAATGCTAAGTATGAACAAACTTTGGAATATGCAACGTAAGTGTTTCGCGTTTTTCAACGACCCTGGATTATGAATTCACCTAGGCCGACATTGTTCTGGTGTGTAAATAGACATCTATTAACGTGTCCCGCCCTGGCTTCAGCAAAAAAAAAACTGGAATTCCATCCTGTAGCCTATATGTGGACCAAACACTTTACTTTGTGGCAATATTGCGAAAAAAGATGCTTCCAAATTAAATGAGGCTATAGTGGATTTCAAAATTTTATTTGTGACTAATTTAAATGTGTTTTGTATGAAAAACACGTAAATTGCTAGTTGTAATGTAATGTATATTTGTTGATTAGTTATATATGTCATAATCAAATTCAAATAAAATGTAAAATCAAATACAAATGGACAGGCGAGTAATCCAGATGCGTATGATGAAGATTCTATATTACTGGTCATCGGAAAGCGATCATGTCTGTCGAATTCCACCAGCGTGCTCAGTTCTTTGGGACCGGCCAAGGGTCTATATTTGGATCAGCTTCCTTGGCCGCTTATCTCTGTCAGGAGATCTGTCTCCAGCCGAGTGCGGCTTGTCTATATTCTCACCCAATTCAAGGTTCCTGATGTTTTTTTTTCTTGAGGGGGCGGGCCGAGATAAGTGCGTCTGCCGTCGGACTTCTGTGAGCAGATGGCCGCTGTGTGAGCTGTTACTTCTCGGTGATGACTGACAGCTCGGTGTTTTAATGCTAAGCCATTCTTTCGTCATGGTTATGTCTTTAGTCATGGTGAAATATTTCGATCAGGCTAGCTTGGTCTTTTGCTTTTTTTCATTGATTTAGAGCATATTAAATTGGTCCCAATGATAGAGACTGGTACATTTTACTTTATTAAAATTTATTTTTAACTAGCAAGAAAGTAATTAACAGTACCAGGTCGGGTAATGTTTTATTAACGTGCTACTTAAATTCGCCGATACATCCTAATAGTTCCAACCTTCTGTGATAATGAGGTGATTGATTAACTTCGGGTAAATTTTTCATAAATTGTTTCCACCCGGTATACCATTGTCACAGAGATGTCAGCCAAGAAAGCTATCATTTTCCTTTATCATCTTATTTATGTGTTTTCATAAGTTATAATATCAAACTGTCGAAAGTGTTAAATACACCTGACTAATCAGTCGCGTGACGTTATAGCGTGATAGCGCATAATACATGTAACATAATCAAAATAGTTGCAACAAAACAAACTCTGCCTCTTAACAATAAGAAACTAAGCCGACTTGCCCCCTTTACCCCCGTGCAATTACTAATCGTTAGTTGTCTATAAGGTAGCCATTGGAGCCTATTGATCAGCCATTGACTGATTGTTTTAGACAGGTTTTTTTTTTCTTTGCCAGAGTGCGAGGTCGCGCGGCTCTCTCTGTTAATTGGAGATAACAGAGTGTAACAATGGCCCCTTAATAAACCGAGAGTTTCGTGATTATCGTAGGAGGAAGAAAAGAAAAGAAACAAGAAAGGGGCTCTCTAATTAGGAGCTGCAGCTCCCGGGATCTGCCTTAGCCTTTGTGAGCGGGTGTGGGGAGGTTGTGTGGCCGGCAGGCAGGCGACAGGCGCCGGTTCCTGGACAAAAGACTGTCTGCTGCCAGAGAGACTAGGCGTCCGAGCGCCCATCCTCCCCAGCTTCCCCGACGCAGCCCTTAACCCTTTCACTATGAAACATGGATATTACCCCCCACCTTCCGCATCGTCCTTCTCCCCATCGTCCTTCTCCCCATGTACATACACACGCACGAGCGCGCACACGCATGTAAACACCGCAGGACGCACACGGATCATGCCATCGTTTATACTGTAAAACACGCGGGCCACACAACTTATTCATACATTTTTAGACAGTAGCTTATGATTTCTATTTAACTATAGGTATTTATTAATATATCATATTGTGTTGACCTATTACGCCAATTTTATGTCGACAGTTATTAATTAGTATAATTAGTAGGCCTATTCTAAACTATGAAAACTTTTTTAAAAGTAGCCAACTTTCCCTTCACTGGGCTACTTTTCATTGCTAAACTTTTTACAACGGCACACAACATATTTGATGTTTTAACTGATTTTATTGTTATTTCAACCCGTAGTCACAAACGGTATCGGCCTTCTCTGTATAGCCCGCCTAGATTTACTAAACGGCAAATGCCTGTCGAAGGATTCCAGCCAATATCTGCCACTGTTTGCCGAGAGCAAACTTTAAATTCAAGCGCGGATGGAAGTTACACAAAAAAAGATATTTTAATCCGCTTTTACTCTGAGGTTCAAATATCCTAAAAGTGCCATTATAATATACTCCCATTCGGAAATTGACCCGTCTGGTACGTTTTTTTCTTAAATTGTATCGAATTTCGTTAGATGTAGTGTAATTACCCGTCACAACACAACTTTATTTTTTTCTGGAATGTCGACAAACAATAATATTTTACAAGTTTCAGTAAAGCATATTCCGCACCCCTTAAACGTAAGATCTATTCTTTTTTCACCAGTGATTCTCAAACAGTTAAATTAAACAAGTGCCATACAATGCGCAAGGGAAATGTGTTATTGAAAGAGTTTAAAAGGGAGGCAGCAGAACTTCCGTATTAAACATAACGCAACTATAAATACCAAAACTACTATTCTATTGCTATATATATTTCCAAACAGAAACAATACCGAACTGCAGCGAATAGGAAGCTCAGATAAAAACAATCAGTAAGCGGACCAAAATAGGAACTCCGGCTTTCTGCACGTACAGTATCCTAACGACAATGCTCGTCAATTTTCTGAACGATTGTGTGCAGCACTAAATTTCTTTAGTATAATTAAAAAAGAATAATAATTTATCGATTTAAATTATTGTGCATGTTCTGTGTTTCAGACACCAACTTATAATAAAAGACAGCATTTAATGCTACAACGTGAACTTATGCTACTGGAAGAAATAAATTAAAAAAAAGATAATTACATATAGCAACAGGTGCGTGTGGGTGTGTGTGTGTGTGTGTGGATTACATGAATTAAATTCCTAGCTTTAAATAATACGCTGCCTGTTTTTCTTTATTGGTATTTTCAAGAACAATATTTTTCTTACACATGTTGCTTGTCGTGGTTTTAACCATTTTAACGAATAATTCGATAGATCAGAATACCAGTGACAGCTAAAGTAGCCAACAGCTTTTGTTTCGTATGCGCTTCCCCTTTACCCTACAGCTCCTCAGAGGGAACAGTTTTTGTACAATTCGACTGTAAAAATGACATTTTTCTTAATTAAACGAAAGCAACATATATCGTTAACATTAAGGTTAATATTCATTGCTACCGTATTGTCAGTTTCTGTACTGAAAAACTAATTGTATAGCTGTACCTGCTAATGTTCATTTTTACTTTATTAAGCGTGTATTCACTCAAACTTGTCTATATATAAGATTTTAGACTTCCAATTCAGTCTTTAAATTAGCCTGCATGTTACTTATATTCTGTTGAATTATGACAGTCTCGTTAGTTTTTTTTTTTTTCGAAAATACAGACTCCATATCACACCATAGCAGAGTACATGACTAGAAAATATACCGGTATCTTTCCATAACTGAAATCGTGATTATTGTTATTTCGAAGAATGATCAGCGGAAGACAGGCGTTCTGACTGCAGGGGGCGCTGTATGCCCTACCGAATGGTAATCTAACGCGCGGGCAGTAGCCTAACCAAAACCTCCAAACTGTCTCGTTTTTTCATATACATTAAAACATGCAGATTTTTTTCTAGAGTTATATTAACCTTTGAATAATACAAAACAATCGTTTAACACATTAATTTTTTATTGAAATTGTGAGAGAATTCAACAAAAAAGAAACATTTGAATTTACCCGAATAACCAGCATAAGGAGATACGCTTTCAATTTAAATACATAGCGCCCATTTTGAAGAGGAATGTAATAAATCTCTTCTGTGCTGGAGTGAAAAAACCTGAGGTTTTCCTACCTTTGCATGTCCCGTTGTTTATTATCAGGTAGTGATAATTCAGGAGCTCTCTTCATTATGATTAGTGTAGTCAGCGATTGCAGCGATGTAAAGATGGCACGCACGTTTCCTTCACGTGTCACAGGCAGGATAAACAGCAATGCATCACAGATAGAAACATTTTCCGTTTCAAACCAACAAGCGCTAAATAGTTTTAATTTACAATATATGTTCATGTAAAATGGGAAAAGGAATGAGTTAAACTCTAAATATTATATACACGCCAATGTACAGCTTTGAATAAATTAATACCAATTTTCTTATTTTGGGATCCTCATAGCTTATTTACAGAATCATTTTTCTTCTAATTACATAAATAGTTCAGATAAACTTGTCCGTCATTTATTAAAAGCGATCTCTGCCACAGCTAAGAAAACCCTTCATGACGGAACGCTGACGTCTTTCCATCCCTTTTGAAATACACTTTTACTTTTTGGATGTAGCTCACCTCATTTTTAGTCTCCCCGCCCCCCAGGCATACTGCCCCCGTAGATTTCCGGTGCGTCAGGGGACCAAATGAACATACATACTCATTCACGCATTGCATCATGAAAAACGCATTATTACCCTGAAGAATATCTAATATCTAGTATTTAATACACTGACGTTGTCACTTCTGTCGACTCCCTTGACAGCAACATAGTTGGTTGTTTTCCATTAATTTTAAAGTCTTTTTTTACAGGTTTCTTTGAAATCACACGTTACTATCGGTTCAAGTTTTAGCCACTAAAACCCATCAAGGTTGCTAGGAGCCCGATATGTCCTTTTGGTTGTCCATTTGAAGAATATTGCGATGCTTTTTGTTTTACCTTCTCGAAAGCGTACCCCTTTAAAACCGTCTATAGTGACGCCCGTGACTCCTGTCGGGCATTCCAATTATCCAAGCGAAAATGTTATGCTCTGTAATGTGCTGTACAAAATCAGTTCCTATTGACCTCTGTATTTCAAGCCAAGTCATGGATAGAATTTGAGAATCCCATTTATCACTTTGGGGAATCTCTGGACGGGGAAGTTTCCCTCTGGTTTTCCAAGCCGCTGACCAGTCTCTGAATGTTCTGCAGTTCATTGATGGATTCCTTCAACGATGACTTAGGAGACCCGGTTCGCTGGCTTGGCCCGGCCTTGTGGTTGTGGTGCTCGGGGACGGGGCTTGCCTCCCTGCTGCCCGATTTTGAGGACTCGGATCCTTGGTTTAGACTGCTTGGCAATCCGGTGGTGAGCAGATTTGTGCTTTGGGGAATAGACACCGGAATCTGGTAGGGATTGAATCGCAGCCTGGGACGGGAGCTGCTGAGGAATGGGTTCCTGGAGAGTGACGTAGCAGCGGTGCTAGTGGGGAGCGCAGATGCCGCTGCAGCCGCTGCTGCCATGTAGGTGTACGGATACGGGAACAAGCCGCCGAAGGTCGGCATCGGAATACCCTGCAACGAGGTTTAAAAAATATATTAAGGACTAAAATTTACAAAACAAAAGCTGATTAGAACAATAACTACTAGAGCATATATGCGCTCCATAACAGGGATCAGTCGGACTCATTCACGCATATTTCCGCAGACTATGAACAAGTTAGCACGTGCTGAGAGGACTGTTGATCGTCTCACCTGTCACGCGCACGCAGACAGCCTTTAGACACGGTTATTGGTTTAAGGCGGTCAATATTTCACTCGATAAGGTGTAAAAGGATATTCTCTTAAAGCTTTAATTAACGCTGGTCAAATATTTACATGAACTGATATATATATATGTATATGTGTGTGTGTGTATGTGTGTGTGTATGGATGCGCAATCGAAAATACAATTTTAACCCTTATAACTAATGTTTATTAACCAAGGGACAAAGGGGCTGCATGTTAGTTACTGACTAATTCCTCCTGAAGAATAATCATTAACTCTTATAAACGAAATTATTTTCAGTGCAAAAATTCCCGAACATTTACAAACAAATGAATTAAAAAAAAAATGTCTTCATATCTACTTCAACACAATGGTAAATGGCGTTTGGCGCGTGCGCTAATAAATCAGCTTCTAAAAATAAAAGGTTTTGGCTCAGTAGCCAAAAAAGAAAACGTTTTGCTGTTTTTCAACTAGGTCGTTCGGTCTGTGCTCTTTACGTCAGGGAACATCCAATGATTGAATACTGCCATATATATTTAAGTCAGGAAAGGAAACAAGTGTCAAATCCTTAGGAAGGCGTTAATTGCTACAATAATGCAAACTGTTACTTTAAGTTGTGGTATATGGTGCGTGTATTTGTTTTTTCTTTTTATTGATGATTTATATTGTTAAACTAGGGCTGCAAACATTAAAATCAACTAGACCATATGCATAGAGAATAAAGCGTCCGTTTACCTGAGAGGCAAGCATGTGCTGTGAAAGATGGAAGGGGAATGGATTTGGGGTGCTTGCCGACCCCTGGCCAGACAGACTTCCGTTGTCCAAGCCGCTTGCTCCGGATACAGAGGCTAATAGATGCCCCATTCCCATGGCAGAGAACGCGCCGGGGGCCATTGCGAACTGTCCGGGGTGGATAAACAGAGGCTGTCCGGTGTTCAAAGGGTTAAAAAACTGCTGACTGTGCAACCCCGAGAGCGCCAGGCTCTGCAAATGGCCTGCGGTGAAGTGTGAGGGACTCTCCGTTTGTACCATCAGGGGAGAAAAGCTATCTTTGCCCCCTCCCAAATTGCTACAGTCTCCATCTTTCTTGGAAGATTCCGCTTCTTTCCGGTGCCTGTTCTCCGACTTGTCTTTTTCAAGGTTTCTGACACTGAACATGGAGTCGTTTTGCTTCCTTGACTCGGGGTACTCGTCCTTCTTGTCTGGACTAGGCCTCTCTTTCACCCTTTCCTCACATCTGGGGCTGAAAGGAGATGGGGGCTCAGGACCAGGACTGCTCGCCCCAGCGCAACGCTCATCTTGTTGGTCAAGTTCCTGCTCACTGTCTGTGAGGGCTTTCTCGTCTGGCAAAAATAGAAAAGCAAATTATATACAAATGCATATTTTCTGCAAGGCATCATTGGTAACTAGAGACTATAGTCATATCAATCATTGAAACGCATAATATAAACATTTATAACTCCGAAAAAAATCATCGAGATGAATACAAAGTAGTGGATAAAAATGCTAAATCACACCCACACATAAAAACCGCGAGAGTGATTATTTTAAGTGCGCAGTCATGATTTACTGTTAGCGTGCCTTTTTGTAATCATTTCCTTCCTACGTGTCAGCCAGCGGTATACTCGGGAGAATTAGCATATATAGACCTAACTTTTAGTTATTTAATGTGGGTGACTACGTAACTTAGCCAATTAGGGAAAGCTGTTATGTGGGGCGAATCTCAAATTTATGTAGCATTTACAAGTTGAATAACACAACCGCGTAATTTTAAATGTAAATAGTTTAAGCTTTGATATATAGTCGACGCTAACATAACAAAAAAAACAGATGTAGGTCTATATCATTATTTATTTGCGACTAGGCTCATCAGTTCCCTTCTAAAGTCGTGATGGCTAAAACGTAGAGGGATCATATTAAGCTTAAGACGTTCTTTATGAATGGCCGAAACTTTTCTGCGCGCTACAGCTGTCAAGGAAGAACCGCTTATCTAAGGCTATGATAGCCTATGCTTCTAGTATTTACCTGTACGCCTCACATCTTATTAAAGAAACACTCCCGCTCCCGCAGCACTGTTGTATAAATTAAAGGCCTAACAGATTCCATTCTTGGACGGTTCTTTAAAAAAAAAAAAAAAAGATCCAATCGGACTCTTTTAATAATTCCGCGGCACTGCATAAATGACTTTGTAATACAATAGTTTACAAGCGGTTAGGTACGCAACCTGATACGGAGAATGTGGAGACCACAGTAGTTTATAGCTACGCTGCTATGCTTTAAACTACTTGTGTCATATTTAAATTTGCTTTAATTTGAATTTTGTGATACCAGCAGACTTTTCAGTCGTTTGCATGTATTCTTTTATGTAGGCCTATTTGTTAGCAGTACTGTTTTATTTTTTTCCAGAAGAAAATCTTTCTGACGCACAAGTGGCACAAATGTCGTACCACCGGGAAATGTAGGCTACTTAATGGCTCGAGTGAAATATGCACCTGTCGTTCTGGGAAAAAAAAAGCTGGATATGAAACAAAATAATGGCCGAGACCCAATAATGATTTGGAACTGTACTTTGTGTGGGTCATAGATACCTCGGCTGGCTCGGCTGAAGCGAAGGGGGCTGGACACGGGCGAGTGCACAGCATCCCGTCCAGCCGTGGGCTCGCTGGAGGAGGCGTCCGAGTCTCCTGCATCTCTGTCCACCTTGCACTGATCCTCGTACATACGTAGGGAAGGCAGCGTTAGTTGCTTCCTGTAACAAAAAAGATAATTTAAAACAATTATTTAAAGACGTGTCGAAATACGAGATAAATTATATTTTAATGCCCCCAAATTGACTTCAGGGAATACTGCTTTCTTATTTTTCATAATGCCACGTAAACTGTATAATGGCCGCTTTACCTCTTTTCCCGACGTCCATTTCCCGTGTCTCTGAACCCTTTGGCAAAAGGATTATTATCAATTTTCAGTTGTGTGATCTAGAGAAAATGAGCAGAAATTACGTTCCCATTAAAATATGTTTCGATTCTCCAGCGGAATTCATTTTAATCTGTTCAAAAAAGCAGCACGTCACTTGTTTTTTGTCGCAAATGCCGTGATAAATGCCTATATTTTATTTATTTAAGGACGACATCTCCAGTAAGTAATAGCCATTATGTTGGTGAATGTTTCGTTTCATTAAGTTCTCGACTGAGAGCGCGCTTTGTCAGCATGTGTCGCCTCGTGACCCGTGCCAGGGTCATGTGAACATCATTATTTGCGTTATTCTAGCGCACATAGTGTACCCCGTTAACACACTCAGTGTTTCATTACAAATTATTCCACGGCACCGTTTGCATTATTAATGGATTCTTAATGATGGGAAGTTATTTTCATCGCCCCCAGGAGGAAATTCAGAGACTAAACATTGCTGCGTTGGTTCTATCTCTATTCTCTTCAAGAAGAAATGGAGGGAGAGAGAGAAAGCAGGGAGTAGTAGAAATGAGTGGAGACTAGACTGACCTAAGACCTATCAATTTTTAATTATGCGCTTTAAGACACTTTGTTTGAATGATACAACCAGCTTTTCGTGAGCCGCTCGTCGTGATACTGGATAAAGCTGCAACGTTTAAACATTTCGTGTATAAAAACAGTACACATAATACAATTATGCCCGATATGCATTTCATTAAAATTGTTCGTCGCATTCAGCGTGCTCACATCTTCTTTCCTCCGCGCGCGCAGAATTATTAAGGAATCCATGAACTGACTACTCAGTCGCGCGCATTTGCCACGCGCTCAGGAACTGACACGCTCTGATTGTGCAGTGCGTATAGCTCGCGGACATTCTGGCAGGCCCGAGTGCCTTCTAATCGATTGTGACTCTCTGCCATAAACTTTACGACACCAACAGGCCCACCAGGCCCCTCGGACACGGGCGCCAATTAGCATCAGCGGGGAGGGGTGGCGGTGAATGGGAGAGAATTAGAGGTGGAACAAAAATAAATACTACCACACTAATATAGGAATTATCTACATCTTAGCTAAATCTAGTAAATATCACCTGCACCAAGTAAAGTGGCATTGCGTAACAAGACTGATAATGCTACCACAATGACTTGCCCAACGAACGTGCATGAAAATCGAGGTATGGTCAATACCCAAAGTATGCACATTGTGTTTGATAGTAGTTGTGACAATACGCACAGATAGACCAATAGAGATTTTTTCCCTTCAGCTATTGTGTTTGACATTACGTTGAGATGCGTCCCTTTGAAACTTAATACACAGACATTTTCCTTTTGTCACTGAAACAACAAAAAGCTCTGTTCTTGTACTTTGACAGGAATTATATTTTACAAGTGTTTAAGTTTATTAGTTTGCAGTCACAGGATTTATACTCAAAGCAAATCACCACACCACCCCCCCCCCTCCCATTATGAAATATGTCACCCCTAAAAGCATTTAAACGTCCAGTCGAGGAAATGCATCAAGTTCTAGGTAAGACAAAGTATTCTTTACAGCGGAATAAGTTCTGAAACGACACCGGCAAACTCAAAAAATGTAAATAAAATAGAATGTTCCCTTGGCAGTGAACACCGTCTGGCGGGTCAGCTGACCAACAAGCGCACGACGAAACTTGCTTAAAAAAAACTAAAATAACAAAAAAAACACAAATGACGGCGGAGCAATATATGTTCAAAAGTGTCTGATATTGATTACATGCGATACGTACCTTGTCATTCTGGTAGGCAGTGACTGCAATAAAATCAGTCTCCGGGAACACGTAGGTTCGGAAAGTACTGTACGGTAGCTTCAGAATGTCGTTCGCTCTCACAATGTGAAACCTGGGCTGGTACTTATGCATTGAATTAAGAATAGTCTGATGGGAGAAGAGAAAATAACTTACTTTACATTTGGCAATAATCATGCAAATTTATACGACAATCACTGCTATTACTTCTGCTGTTCCTAGTGTTCAACAGTTCAGCTATTTAAGCAGATCATAGTGGCCTATTAACATATAATATAATGGTTAGCATAGGTAGACTAATAATACAAAAATCTCGTGATAATATTTCCTTTCCGCTTCGATTAGTTACAGGTCAGCAAATTAGCTACATATAAATACTCTTAAAATGTATTAATTAATGCCGTTTCACTAAAAAAAAAGTAACCAAAAGTGTATATTTATATGCGAGATTTCAAATATAACTTCTTGAACCAACAGCTTGGTTATCGTTTTTTTCCAGGAATAACCATTATCAACGTATACATCGCGCTTTCGATTGCACTGAAACAATATACAATACATTTCAAGATATAGTGTTTCGCTTATGATAATAAACGCAGACACCAGTGAATAAACAATTCTTTGGGGGCATTTGAAAGGATGTCACTTTGGCGAGCTGATCACTGAAACCAATATACTTAAAAAGATTGTCTGCAACAAATTGCAAATGGTCGCGCCTCGCATGTAAATACGGCATTTGTTTACAGCCAGTTTGCGCATCAGTTTAAGCGGATTTTAATGTTGTGTAGTGCTGCATGCTCCTCTTTTGATTTTAATGACACTGTCATATTACTTTCGCGCCAAGAATACAAATTATATCCCACTGACTGACCCAGTGAATACTCGAGGGCCTTGTGTCAGTGTAGAAAATCTGAGAGTTGACATCCTACTGTAGAATCTTCCAAATACGCCTCCTATCTCTGACCTGATTTCGGCCACTTTATTTAATCTCAAACGCAGACTCTCTGCTCCCGAGAAAAGCACAATGTTGACAAGGTGTTTCGCAAAACCACACACCAGCTAATATCTTCGGGCCACTGAAAAAATATACATTACCTAATGTGACAAGAGTAGGCCTACTAGTTTAAAATACTAATATTAAGTTTTTAAACGTTATAACAAAAAAATGCAATGTTATAGCACAACATTCTCGAAAATGTTTATAATTCAAATACATAAAAATGCATTCTGACTAATAATAATAATAATAATAATAATAATAATAATAATAATAATATGAGATTGCTGTAGAACACATATGGCATAATGTATAAATATTTTGAATGTACAGAATTTCACTTTACCGCTCGGTATTAGATTAAGTTCTTATAGCCCACACTGGAAAAATATTGCATCCCAGTAAACCAAACGTACTAACACGGGTTCTGCCAGATGCGAACTGTAATCGCATTCTGTGAGTGTATCTCGCAATATCTGATTCATAATGCTGTACTTCGTCCGCTCCCACTATTGATTCCACTGTTATAAACGCAATAACATAATGAACGGAGTACATGGCGTCGAGACAAAGGCTCATAATTGCCCGCTACGCCGAATAGGCTACTCACAAATCCATGCTTGTCCGAGATATTGTTGGTCAGCTTGAGTTTATGAAAAGCAACAGGCTTTGCCATCCACTGCTCTCCCGTAGCCGGACTGTCCGGGTGAATATACATTCGCTTGGGCATCTCGGGGTCGGCCTTCCCCGCTACCATCCAACGAGAATTATGGAACTTGTAGCGGCAGTCGTCCGCAGCGACGATATCCATCAGCAAGATATATTTAGCTTTTTTATCAAGACCATTTATTCGGACTTTAAAAGGAGGGAACATTCTCCTACAAAGAGACAAGAACAGAATGAGCCGTGTATTCTGTATAGCAATACACACATAGTCACAAAGCTGAACATTCAGCTAAAAAGGCGCTCTTGCTGTACAATAACATTTTAAATGTCGGTATATTTTGTTGAAATAAAGCAGCCGTATTAACTACAGGGCACGGATACCGCAGACCACAGTGTTTACTCGCTTTATATTTTCTGTGTAAGACTAAAAGCGCAGCACATTTTCATGTGAAAGAAATTTAAATGAAATTTGTTTTTTTAGCTTGTAGGTTATGCTTTTAAAAACCTTAATACGTTATGCTGAATTCTGGTGTCTGTACATTAACATATGATTAAAGATTTTAACTGTACAGAAAAACATTAGACAAATGTATATTTATTTGCCCGACGTTTTATTTGCATATAAAAGTATGCACGTACACATCCGTACTTCTTGCTGCGTGTACTACTCGCAGAGTAATCTTTGAAGAATATTTATGACATTGCACCATCATTTAAATCACAATCTACTTTTTAAAGAGACAACCTGTTTACAAAAACCAGAAGCTTAACTGTCATGACAGAATGCACAGTTTGATCCATATACTGGTTCTGTAGTCTAAATTCCTGGAGTTTTTTCCCACCCTTTTTAAAATCTTTGTAGTTTTCCTGTATACCGACAGGAAAACATGGCCAAAATAATCTGGTTTTGAGCATCCAAATGCCTCGAGCAATTACAGATTATCTAAGAACTTTTCCCTCAAGAATCCTTCACTCCAGATAATATTCCTGACAATAGACAACCGGTTATATTCGCTTCTATCAAAATTGAGAGTTAATAACGTCTGTGCCAATTTAAATATACAATGTTGCAAAAAATAGAGTATTTTCTATTATGGTTAATAAATTCTTCCAAGAGTTGAAGGCAATTTATAGATATATACATTAAAATCCAACAATAAAATGTATTTGACTATTTTTGCATTTCATTTTTTAATTTTCTATATATGTTCAGATATTGGGTATTCTGCATCGTAGACATTTGGATCAAAAACACAGAAAATTTATATACACAGACTATAATACAACTAAATATAATTATCGTAATAAAAGTACAACGAGGGATGCTTTTTGAAAATTACAGCGGAAAAAAAGAGGAATATTTAAAACCTCTCCTTACCTTCCAGATTTGGTGATTACCATTTCGGTTCCAAGTTTGTGAAACTGGTCCCACAGATCCTTAGCTTCCAGTGTGACTTTTGGGTCGTCTTCGACTTCTTCCTCCGGCTCCAAGCTCTTAAGAGTACGCAGATGAGCAGCCTGGTGATGATGACTCAGTACCGGGTGGAGCCCCGCTTCCGCGGCCCCGGCAAGAGTATGGTCCGGGATTGGCTTAGTGAGAGCCCCGGGAGGCAGCGTGAGCGCCGGGAAGAAAGAAGGTTGAGCGGCCGCTAGAAAGGCTGACATGGGGAAGTCGGCCGGCCGGTGAGCGTGGAAAGGGTGATAAGCCATGCCAGTCCCTGTGAAAACTGGATCTCTCATCGGTGCATCCAAAAATCGAGGTGAAATGATCATATGCAGTTATGTTGATCCCCGAAAGAAAATACCACGTCTCCAGATTACTGAGCGATTCTACTAAAATTAGGAGAAGTAGAATAGAACGAAAGTATCGCGATGCCAAATACAGTAAGGGACGCGTAACAGAGACGTTTCTCTGAGAAAAAAGGCGTTAGAGAAATGAGTTGCTGCTTCTAATACTCCAGCGGCTGAAGCCTCCGAGAAGTCCAGTAATAAGAATATCAGTCAAAGGGACTGCATGCGCGCTTTGAAAGCAAATTCGGGGTTTCCGTTTTCCTCCCGAACACGCTTCCAGAAGAATAAAATCACTCTTGCAACGGAGATGCGCCGGCGAGAGCAATCATTCTACACGGACGCGGAGTTTAAATGGTTAGATCTTGCCTTGTTCACTGTAAAACTGTGACTATCTCACATGTCCTTCCTGCTCCGATCCCAACACTAATGAACCAGGCCCCCTTGATTGCTGATTTTACGCTTTCTGGACCAATTGCAAGCCTCTATAGGCGTGGTTTTGACAGCTCCGGCCAAGAACGAGAAGAGGGGGGTGGACTAGAAGGTGTCGGAAGCATTAGCAGTAAGAAAACATGTCAACAGAATAAAATATTAACCAATGACAGAAAAGATCGGGAAATCCCACCCCCAGCTTCAAGCCAAACACCGGGTCAGCCTTCTCTCCTCGGCCGGTGGAGAGAGCACCTCGCTCGGCTTGCGCTTAATAATTTTGTTGAGGTACTCTGTACCCTTGTATGGGGCAATAAATGCACACCCTGAATCATGACCTTAATAAATGACTCAATATGTTTTAATTTGGATCGTTATGAAAAATGGTTTGTATTTATTTAATGTATATTAACAGTAAACTGTGATATTTAGTCAAAATGTATGAAGCAATTCTGAATATATTTCTAGCGAATGTTTTTTTAATTGGAGATTTCTTGTGCCCTACAACGAAATATATTTTAAATAAAATGTAGTAAAATATTTTGTTCCGTTATTTTAACCACATATTTATTAAGAAAGATTATATTTTTATGCATTTGGACACTAGCAAGCGATTGTTTGTGAATATCGTGCATCCCATACTGATTTGGCTAAAATAAAGTGACATATGGCCAAATTCCTATTGTGATTATATTGGTCTGTTTTTTTTTTTTTTTAAATTTACACTAAATCCGATCGATTTAGTGAAGCAGTGCGCTTCTGTGAGCGGCTTCTCTCCGAAGGACAAGCGGGCAGTAAACCGGACATTGGTACTTTTATCTGAGCCCCGGGTCATTCCAAAGACAGACCCAGATGCTGCGTTGAAGCAAGGAGAAAAGAAAACATCTGAGCATATTTCAAGACAAAACTCAAGTGGGAAATGTGGGGTGAGTGCTCGATCCTGGTTACAGCAGCTTTTCTATTTTCGTAAGAAGTACGTAAAATGTAGTCAGTGAAATACTGACGGCGATAGAACTTAACAATGAAAGAAAATGCTTCTAAAAACAAAAATAATTAGCGCAAATTTTATTGTGAAATATCCGTATTACAAACAATTCATTTATACATTCCGATTGGCTGAATAGTAACACATATATGGCTAAACACAATGAAATACGTCGACATATTTTTTAAAAAATAAACTCCATATACTAATAAAGGGTAAACTGTGCGCATTTATTTTAGAAGCAGGACTGAGAATATGACACGGTCCAGGAGAATCACGCGATGTGCTCTGTGTGAGGTTAGGGTTATAATCGCCATGCCATGTTGTCTTGTCCAGAATTGCTCCGGAATATTCCTGGCATGTGTCAATCCGGAATACAACCTCCCATCCCGTCCGTGGGATTCGTATATCTGTTTAGGAAGGATGTCGGGACTGCAGAGTGTACCTTTAAGAAATCCTTTCGTGGACTCTTGATTAACTCGGATTCAGTTTGTTAAAGAGCCTCTTGGCGCCAGTCGGCTGACGTCCCACAATAAGAACCGTCTCTTGTCACTTCATATTTAGGCGAAAATCCTCCAACAGCGCGTTTCAGCCCCTTCAACGTTCACGCCGCAGCTACTGCGTACGGCTGTTTTAAGGCTGTTAGTTCCCTCGTTGCGATGTTCCTCCGCAGTCTAAATGCGGGAAGTTTGATAAACACCCGAAGTGTCCATTTGGGCTGACCTCCGGATAGTCTCTGATCTTCCACATAGACTTGTTATGAAGTGCCGGCGCCGAATTCAGAAACCAGAATCTTGTCACTTTGACATTAAACCGAAACAAAAACTACTAATCTGACAGAATACAAACAGCCCACAAATTTCCTATTAACCTCTGCCTGGCCGGCTCGCCCTTTGTTGTTTAGCTGTGAGTGTTACGTCCCCGTGCACATAGTCCCCGCTATCCTCTGGTGTTCTGAGCCCGGTTTTATGATTGCTTCGCCCTTTACCAGAATGCATTTGTTTCATTTAAGAGTTACGTATTTATATACTTTAGCCAGCGACATAAAACTGACTATGATTGAAGATATCAAGGAAATGGAACTACATCGTCATTAATGCTTGACAATGTAGAAAAGCTCGCTTTGTCTGAATTTATAATGCTGATGATCTCAGCGAGGGAAGGAACTCGTGACAGCGCTGTACAATCAGACAACAACTCGCCTTTTTATTTCTCTTTATGAATTAAAATTAAACACGTCGAAAATTTTGCTACTAACCTATACGTTGTTTGAAGTACGAGTACAAAGTCACATCGTCCCTTACTGCTATCGCAGAGTCCCCGAGCTCGGGCGATAATCATTTATGCAGCGGGTTTAATTATTTAATACATGCTTTATAATGACTGAAGTATTACACGCTCAGAGTTAACACAAATCGAAACAAATTCTTATGAGATGCTTATTCATTCTGAGTCTTGGAGCAGGAGAACAATCTACACGATCTTAAAAGCGCGTTTCCAGAGACAGGCACTTGTTGCGTTTACCTGTTTGGTGAGTATAAGATATGCTAGGAACGCGTGAGGTGTTACTTTTTTGAAAGGAACTGGCGCCAGGGGTATGCCACGGTTATGGTCTGGGAAGGCTTAATTGATCAGACAATCAAAGGCTGAATGATAGCTGTTTTTGTATTTTTTTTAATACATGGGTTAAAACAAACAAATAAGGCATATCAGGTAATGATAACACATCGGCGGTAGGAGCGGCGCTTGCTGTGTTTAAATTTACTTTTGATGTGTCTGGGACACGTCATATAATTTGGCTCCAGGCCTTTTGACCCCCACTAGGCCCCCTGGTACTAAGTGATGACTAGCTAATGCTTTATAAACCGTCATTTCGATATAATTTAGTGAGCATTTTGCCTGTTTCATGTGAGGTTTACACTGTGGACGCTAAGATAAAGTTAATGAAATTAATACATCGTACATATGAAAAAGCGATACTAAGTCAATAGCTAGATATTTAACATTTTTTTCCACACGTATCCATACCGTTAGAGACCACTCTGGCATCTAATCAAATATGACGCTCTCATTTACTTCATTTTACTGTCTAATTTCATTAATAACTTTACTCATTTATTCTCAGCTGAAGATTTTTTTTAATCAAGTGTCGCCTAGGTCACTGTTTTATCTGTAGGAACATAAGATCGCACTCATCGATTGGTTAAATGGGTGAGAATAATATACCTAATAACGTGAAACAAAAAAACCGCCATATCTTGCATTTTACATGGCCATATTATCCGCAGGCTCACTGGATTAAAAATGTTAAGTTGCTTATCTGTGTATGAATCTTGCTATTTTGTACCTCAGACGTAGATATTTTGGTTTGCAGGGTTATTCTGAATTTACTTAGAATCGAGTGGTGTGTTACATGCCAATGAAATCAGTTGAATTATAAACGTTATAGGGAAAGTTTATTTGGAAGTGGCAGTGTAGAACATTATAATAATATATGAACGCAACTGTGAGGGTGTATGTGTCTTAAAATTTTATTGCGCGAAAAAAGTGAGGTCAAAACCTGTTAAAATCCGATAAGCGCTACCTACAAGGATTTCCTTATATGGATTTGTGCAACATTCGCAAGTAACTGTGTTCAAATTTGAGATGTTTATTGTTCAGTGCTTTTAATACAATCAATATTTCGCTACGTCATAATGATAAATTCTTCGAAATAATCAGATGGCGCATGGAATTCAATGCTTTATTTTTGAATAGCATTTTAGTGCCGACGTTTTAATAATAATAAATAATAATAATAATAATATTTATTATTATTATTAAATCTAGTGTCATGCTCCCCCCACAAGTGTGATATAACTGAATCCAAATGTTAAATTTTTCAATGAAAAAAGATTAACAACACATGGGGAATGTTAATGATTTTCCATCTGTAAACTCGGACAGCTAATTATATCAACAAAGGTCTAGTAATTATGCTCAATTTATTTGTTCTGTAGATCCTGGGTGTATACATTATCTAAATGGGCAAGGGCGCAATGAAGTGTTGTGGTGTTATCACGGTACTTGGTTGACTTGGAAAGGAGCTCGTGCTCGAAGCCTTTCCCATTCAGTGCTACTGGCTCGCCACACTTCAACGAAACGGAGCACAGCGCGATCCTGCAGTGCAAACCACGTATGAAGAATGACGGGGGTTTAGGACGGTTTGCTTTGTGCTTTGTCAACACACCGGTGGAGCATAGGGCATTTCCATCAAAGTACATCTGCAGCTTTTTAAAACGAAGGCCTGTTGGACTGATCTTTAGGGTGATCCATAGGCTGCACTTAGGGGTCCCACACATAGCTGCGCGAGCCCTTTATCAAGTGACAGTCCATATTATGAAAATGTAACACTCTTGTGTCATGTATATATATATATATAGGCCTATATATATATATATAAAATGTGATTTCCACATATTCATATTTAATGGTGAAGTAACAAAATTACCCATTTGCCTGCTGCCACGGAAAATAACGGGGCAGTACGGTTTATTTCTCAGTGAATTATTTGTATTTTCCCTCTCCCTGGGTACACTGGTACATTTCTATTCATTTTTCATCATATCTTCCCATCTCTTTGCATCATCTCCTCCCGCTATATTTAGCCAGGAGACGGAGGCCTTGGCGCCAGACCGTTTAAGACCTGTCAAAGTCCTTCATATTTCCCGCTGTCACATGTATACCCGCGCCTCCACCGGCTACCAACCCCCTCGCTCTCCATTTCTCCCCATCACCGTGTAGCTCTCTCCTTATTTCTCCGTACCTCCCTCCTTGGTCTGTTTATGTTGCTTTGCATCTCCCTTGCTCTCATTAAAGCCTGTTTTTAATCCTCCCCTCGCTTCAGTGTTTGCGGACTTGCGCAATTTGCTCTTCTCCTTGCCCATGCTGTCTCATTGACCCGAGCCAGCGGGGCTCCGGGTGCCCTGTCCTCCCCACTTGGACAAATTGCAACTGATTGATGAAAAATAACAACTCTCGCGAGCAGCTCTAGTAGCTGCAACAGTGGAACCCCACACACACACACACACACACACGGTCCCCCGCACTCCGTTGGCTTAGTGCATGGCAGTCCGGCACACATGAAGCATCAAAAAGCGTTACCACCTCTGCCATCACGGCGGAGCTAATCAGTCTGTCACGTCAATATTACGTTCCCTTTCAGTGGCTCTCCCTTTTAACTGGGGAAGCCACGTACAGCTTTAACTCCTATAAATAATTTGATGCGTGCGATTAATACACAATATGCAAACGGACAGTTTAACAGTGGTTATTAGTAATTTACATTCTTTGTTAAATTCCGCACAATTGTTCATTGTGTTAAATAATCGGAAGGTGTTTTCATTGTCATGTAATCGATTAGAAGATAGTCATTTCTAAAAAAATAAAATTTGTAAGTAGGCCTATAAAATATGGAAAATATTAATATTGTTGTTCTTTTCAAAATGCAAAAAAGATTAAAAAGCAACAGAGTTTTGAAAAGCAGAGATAGAGGAACCTTTTTTCTTACGCAACAAGTGCCTATAGTTGCGATTATTTCCAAATCTGGAGGTTTCGTCCTGTAAATCGAAGTATTAAAATGACAATGTACTCCAGCAACTTTAATAAGTTGATGCAGTCTAATAAAGACGTGACAAACAGGTGAGTCGGAGAGGATACGTTGGAAATTTGTAAAATGCCATTTATGAACTATACTCCTCCATTCAAAACAACGGCACAACCCCAGTATAAATTATATTTTGAGGCCGTATCTTTTTTATTACACAAAATTCGTTGCAGAGCAGGGATACAGTTGTCCAGCACTGCGGGATTTATACCTTTTTATAGGTATCAGGTGGGGGCGCTAAAATTTCTCTAGGGAATTTGAGATCGTGCTCTTGCCTTCTGTCCGTTTTCTTTGTA